GTTGTTGTTGTTAATTAAGTTAAATCGCTTACTTCTCGCCCCTACCGATCCCGCATGAAATTGGCTATAAAATAAGATGAGTGTACCTGCACCAAATTGATAGAAGGGCAAACAAAATGAAGACGCCCTTCACTACGCCCACAAGGATGAACACCATTGACACAGTGCTCAATTGGTTGCGCCTCTGTTCATCTGTAATCAAACGTACCAGAGTGTGCCTTATTCTGCAAAATACACCAACGGTAACTCCGAAAAAATAATAATACCATGTTTATATTTTCATCTTGGAAATTATTGTACTTAAGAAATATGTGTCGTGAGATACATTCTGGTACAATAACAAGTCTTGTTTTCGAACTGAGTGACTGTTTCCGCACGATTTAGTCACAGACTGTTAAGTACGTTTTACAAGGTAGAAATTCAAAAGGGAGTTTTAAGGTAACGACTACGTGAGATGTCGGGATGGGGTGAGATGGACCAGGAAAAAGAAGTGCCGCCGTAAAAAGCGAGTTCCAAGGGCATGCCACGTACATATAAACACGTGCGTAGTAGCCGTCTTGGGAAAGTCATTCTTAAGTCTGTACAATACTCCTCACACTTAAGCCTTTTGCATCACGTTATGCCAACAAATGCACAACGGGGTGCTAGAAGGTTTAGCGTGCTTTTTAACTCCAACACTTAAATTTCGCATGAAATTAGAGAAAGATGTAGACATTCATGCACGGTGAAACATGCGAGATGGTGTCTCTGTGAAAACATGAACATGATTGAAGTGCTGACGGTTTTGCATTTCCGAACTGCTGAGTTCGGTAGCAAGCCATTCTCTTAGCATTATAATCTAAAATATATAACTAACATATGCTTTGTGAGAGAGATGTAAAAACGAGATTAAAGCGAAGAAGTATGGGTACATGAAAAGATTTGAAGATATGTGGAGTTTAGCAAGCCAGCTAACGACGCGGCATTCACACTAATAACACCCATGGGATATTTGTTAGCCAGGAAGCAGTAGGACTGGGCACACAGGGTCGGTAAGGAAGAAGCATGGCCACAGTTACGGAAACATTTCCTCACATTTGTCCCAGTGTGGCGCCACGCAATCAACCAAACAGACCGCGGAGCCTCTATTGTACACTACAGAGGAGGGAATCCTGAAAAGTTCCCGGGAACTCCATGCAAGCACGAAACATTTACACGAAACATTTATATATGTTAAAAGGCCAAGGGCAGGGGACAAAGCAGGGAAACCAACAACAAACAACGCAAGAGTGATTCCACCCTGAATGTCGCTGACACTGAACATGTGCGAGCCTCGCGGCCGGGCCCCGCCCCAGTAAGCACCTTGACTTTGTTGACAGACAAGTAAAAGGCCCTCAGCCACTTGGCAGATCTCAGAGGCAACAATGGAACCCAGCATTATTGAGGTGAGAGGCAAACTAGGGGCATTTAGGCTTTTACTTAATTGTTCAACAAGTTCAGGGTTTACCAAGTAGTCATTAGTTACCCCAATATATAGAATAAATGCACATAAAATGAATCTTTCCTTTTTCTTTTTTAGGATATTGGTACCTGTAGCAATGGGCGGCCACGGCGAATAAGATGAACACTCCGAAAACTACTCCAACCATCAAAATGACCATAGCCCAGGACGGGAGCTTGTAGGAATGATTTTCTGAAATTAAATCCATTTAAGCTTATAAGTGACATCAATTTCCCACTTACAACGATCTTCCAGTTTCGGAGACGTGGCACGAGCCGTCGGTTCCTTTCTGGCTTCTCTGTGAATGGAAGCTCTTGAAATTTCCAACTGGATGGTGGCAATGTAGGTTCGGGTGTTTAAGAAAAGGTGTTGTTGACCCTTTGATGTATTGTCTATTTGATACGTTTCAGAGAAGTAAAGGGAAAACCGCGTCTTTT